CACTTGTTCATACAACCCGGAAACTAGTCAATTTTTCAAATACATAGCTGCAATTTGCTACTGTACATTAAGTCCAGTTCGATTTGATCTTGCACTCAGATGTACAATAGCAGGATTTCAGCCAATCATGTCTCAGCTCTGCAGAATAATGAATAAATCAGCACTCAGAGCCTGAGGAGGGTGAGGCCTGCAGGGGGCGAGTCATGTGACGTTCAGCTCAGACCAAACCAATGAAAACACTTTACACGGCGACACGGTTTTAGACATCCTGCATCTGTACCCGCTCACTCCTGTCTGTCTGTATCTGTCCCGCATTCCCTGCCAAATCTCACACAACCCTCTGTCTGTCTGTCTCTCACATCTGAGTGTGTTTATCTACTCATATGGCGACATATCATAGACTTGTATTGGTTTTATATAAAGTTTACAGAAACCTGTTATTTTATTTTTATTTTATTTTACCATCTTAATTTAATTTACTGCTATTTTAATGCTAAATGGAAACAGCAAGGATCTTTCAAAAGTGGTTCAGATGGATCAAATCCAAACACTGTAACATTCTGGCCAATTAGAGAGAGGGGGGGGGGAGCGAGAGAGCGAGAGAGCGAGAGAGAGTGAGAGAGTGAGAGAGGTTAAACTAGCTCAAGGGTTTAGTTGAACTCCACTGAGCAGTAAACACACGTACACATGCTACTCAATATGACAGCCAGTGACTGATGGTTCATTTTTATGTGTTTCCTCTTTAATAATCATGTGCGGAAACACACAGATATTCCCACAATGCAGGTGTGAAATGAACGAGTATTAACTTCTGCCGCTCTCCAAAGACATTTCAGCAAATGCTAGAGAGGCCTCTGTCTTCTGATTGAGTCATGCGCCTTTTTCAGTATTTTAGCTGAAATTTGAAGTGCATTTGTTGTGCTTTTGTCATAATGATGATGATGATGATGATTTTTATTTCAGTTTTAGTTTTTATTTCCAGTTAATGATTTTAGTGTTTCAACTTAAAATATTTCAAATAATTGTACTATTTTTACATATTTATATTACTATTTATTTAATATTTACTTAAATTAAGGAAAAAAGAAGAAGCTTGATTTTTGAATGTGCTTTCATTGAGACAGATGCAATTTAGCAGCGACATGCAATGATAAAAAATTATCAAATCTCCACAAATTATACAGCAAACACAGAAAAGGAAAATCCTACGGCTTTTTTTATTCAACAAACTGACATGTAAAAGCGGGTGTAAGTGTTGTCCTCCGCCGCTCTAACCGGCAGCTAATTGTAGCCGTCAATTGTATAAGATGCTCTTTTACTTCAACACAAGCCCGGATCAAACACAATCAACTCTCCCGCCTGTTTAAGAGAGAGAGAGAGAGAGAGACGGCGATGCTCGTTGTCACGGTGATGACTGCATTTATTCGCATCACACGTTTGAATATAAATATTTGTTGATTTGCTCATTTTGCGTCTCGCTGAGATCTGAACACTGTCGAGGATGTTAAAAGACTGTTTTGAAGTGCTGCCGTCTGTCTGAACGTGACGGAAAAGACAGACAGACAGAAGAGTATTCACGAATATTCGCAATTCAACACTCACGTATTTTATTGCATTTATAACCGTTAGTACTTAATGAAAATATTAAGGACACAAATATTTATTCAGATTCAAATTTATTCAGTATTTATGAAAATATGCAAAGTGGCATCCAGTCAGCTTCATGTTGTTATATTGTGTATTTTTTAATGACTGATGAGTAATTGACCAATCAGCATCCAGGAGTGGAAGGATCTGTTTTATAATGCACTTCTGTGTTGTTTATTTATCACAGATTATGACATTTGACATTGCATTTGATAGTGAATCATTTGTCTTATGTAATATACAGCAGTATACTCTTCCTCACAGCAGATTTTATAACAGAAAGAGGAAAATGTGAAGAATCGCTCACTCACACATGCACACAAACACGGCCCGGCGTACTTCCACAAGAGGGCCGAATCCTGCAGGAGAAAGCCATGTTTTATTTCATAAGATAAATTAAATTTCACACCCCTTCGAAGTTTATACAGCACAGAGCAGCAGATTTTACAAGATTCATATGCAAATGTGTGTCGAGATTAGAGATACAACAATTATTCCGGTTCGTGATAAATTATTCATTTAACAACCGTCAATTATTAATTCCACGTTTGTCTATCTCACACAATATTTAACAATGTGTAAAATACCTGCATATAAACAGACACAAAAGACAGCATGCATGCGGAAATTAGATTAGATAGATAGATAGATAGATAGATAGATAGATAGATAGATAGATAGATAGATAGATAGATAGATAGATAGATAGATAGATAGATAGATAGAAAAGCATGCTTTATGTGATGACATGCAAATTAGCTGATTTTACTTTTAGTCAAAGATATTGTTTAATATGACTAAATCAAGCTGACTATATCAGTGGAAATCAAATCAAGTAGAAATCACAGAATAACTGATTGATTAATTATTGTCTGACTGATTCGTGTCACGCACCCTACAGCAGCTTCAGACAAACCATGCATGCACCCTCACAATTTAAACAAATATAGAATAACATTGTTACAAATGTAATGTTATAATATAAATGCAAATAATAATAATAATAATAATTATTATTATTATTATTATTATTTAATAATTGTATTTTTTAAAGGAACAAATACATACCTGAGCGATTATAGACTGCAGGAGTCAGAGGTGCCTGTGATGCTGAACAAAAGCATCAATCAGTGCAGATGCCAGAAGACTGATGTCTTCATTATCCTCACAAATACTCAAACTATTCACAGAAAGCAGTGTCGCCCTCTCAAGACTTCAGCACTAAAGCGTAAAACACAGTAGAAGACAAATAACAATAACGGTGAAAGAATGCAGAGAGAGAGAGAGAGAGAGAGAGAGAGAGAGAGAGAGGAAGATCATTCACGCCCTTAAATGTGTCGGAATCCCTTTGAAATCTCGTCGACGAAGCATTTCATTCTTTAACTTTGTATTGAGAATTATATTTATATATATAAAATAACATAACATGCTCATTACGCTGCATTGACTGCCTTGGGTTTTTAAAAATCCTTAATTAAGCGTTCTTACCTGTGCACCTGCAGACTCACCTGTTCTTACCTGTGCACCTGCAGACTCACCTGTCGCAGCAGCGCGCGCGCCTCCCGCGTCTCCTCTGACTGAACACTTTCCCTCCTCAAGCTCAGCGCTTCTCCTCATCAGATTCCTCTTTTTTTATTTCATCCTCCTTTATTTCTCCTACAACAGTGTTTGAAGAGAGAGAAAGAGAGCGCGCAAACGTGCCCCGAACTTTCTTCAGACGTTATTCGCGTCTTCGCTGTAAAGGTGCCTGATGCTCCGTGTGTGTGTGTGTGTGTGTGTGTGCGTGTGTGCGTGCGCGCTCATAAAACACACACACGTTTGGCTCTATTATCCCTCCCTGTGCTGATAGGTGGCGTGTGTTTCTCTCTCTCTCTCTCGAAAAGAAAGGAGGAAAACAGTGTCATTCGAGGCGTGTGAGCGCGTCAGTCCGAGCGCAGGTTTGAGTCCTGGAGTGTGTGAGAGGATCAGTCAGGAATAACGCGCCTCTGTTTCTCAGGCTTTATTCTGGACCTAGACACTATAACACACACAACACACACTCCCGCAGCCGAGACCACAAGGTAAGACACACTCTTTTACCTTCACGTCATCTTTAAAATAGTCCTAATGCGAGATAAATCCGCTTTAATGCTGCTGGGTTCGGGATGCTCTTCGCTGAAGTCAAACACAAAGGTGTGTGGATGTTCCTCTTACCTTGGCGTTCACCTGTGCAGGTGCGCTGAGCGACTAGACTACACTCATTTGAAACTGACGTTTTATTCACGGAAAGAAACCAATGCTTGGCATTGCGTCCTCTAACCATTTTTATTTGTTATTTTTTTAAATGCAAACTATTTTTTTTTCTTTCTGTAATCTTGCAATGCGCGAGATCAGTGATCGCTACAATGCTACAGATTCAGATGTAAATGCACCGGTTTTATTGAGCTTTTTTTAACAAACACAATTTTAACATGCAGTCACAAAAATATGTACCTTATGTTAAGTTAATATACATGCAAAGTAAAGGTATTTATGCAGTTTTAATGATTATGATATCTGCACGCGTTTTATTTTACTCGTAATTTAATTATCAAACACTGCATATTTATTCATGCATCATTACCGATCGAGAGAGAGATTTATATCGATCCGATTTTCCAAAGTTTTCAAATACTGCATCTTCACTAATATTTAAAGCAAGAACTCAAACACTCAGAAAGTCAAGAGAGAGAGAAAAAAGCAATATATATCTGATACACGTGAGGTTTATCACAGATAATATACGATTTAAATGCTAATGTTCCTATTGCCTAATGCACTAAACAATATGTTCTCATTTTATTACATTTCACGTTTATGCCTAAAAACAAACTACAGAAAATGTATCTGATATAGTTGGAAGCTCCCCAATAAATAAATCAGACAACTAAAAACAATCAGCTGTTAAAGTGTCTTTATAGACATGAAACATGTCCAATATAAATCCAGCCTCTGACCTTTGCATTTAACTATTATTTCGCTTTTTGCATTTAAATCAGAGGAGACACATGCACCTTTAAACTGCTTATTTAGACGTCCATAAGTCATAATGCATGCGTCTTCCAGTCTCCGGTGATCAGATGCATGGACAGCGAATGATCTGAGAGGCTCTCAGCAGTCTCGTTCACTCATGTACCCGTGTGTTTCTGTCTTTCTGTTCGTGTGCTCGGGCTGAAGGGCTGCCAGAGGGAGCGGTCCATCCTGCTGCTGTGTTTGCTCGGGTCTGAGTCCATGCAAACTGCCATCTGATCCACGTTTATCAATGCGGGAGCTGATCATGGCGGATGGCCCCCGGTGTAAGAGGCGAAAACAAGCCAACCCGCGGAGGAAAAACGGTAAGAGCGGCTTGGGAAAGTGTCCTGGCGAGGTGCGTAAACGGACGCGTTACGCGGGACGCAGAGAGATGAGACCGGACAGATCAGAGTCCAGATAGGAGTACGTTTAGCCGAGCACAAGTAGAAATCGGACTAAACAGGCGCGATGTAAATAAAGGCCATGTAGCGGAGCCTTTTCTCTCTGTATTTTCGCGCAAGTTTGGAAATGAAAGTTTGTGCGTAATTCTCAGGAGCGTCAAACGCGCTCTGAACACGTTAGACGCCTGTGGATTCTTTACACTTGCATTTCGTTTGCTTAAGAAGCTGCTGACCGTCCAGAGACACCGATTGGACAGTCTCAGTGCGTTATTTTCATTCATTCTCAGATGCATGAATTAGAGGTGCTCGTGCTTGTTGTGTTTTTTGTGTGGAGCTGCGTTAGTCGCAGTCAATGTCACACAAGTGTCTGGTAAACGCAGTTTTGCATTAATGCAGCACGCATGCTGATTGTGAAGAACAGATGAGTTATCTTAAAAACTTGTGTTGCTTTCAAAGATGTTTCAGATCAGTGTGTTATATTTTGAGGGTAGCTGTTTGGGCGTTTTGCACATGCATTAACACTAAACACACCAGCCGATCGATTAGGTTGCATTTGAAATTGTCCGTGAGTGAGTGTTTGGTTTGTTGGTTCGGATGCCGCGCGCTGCACGTTTGAGTTTTTATTTCTTCAGCAGTTCAGTTCCATCTCCCTCTTTCCTTTATGAAATGTTTCATATCGATCCGCTAAAAATCAATACGAGTACGTGAGTCTTTTCACCCTCACGAGTGTCTTCAAGTAGCCTACTAAAGTTTAAAAAGCGCAATTCTGTCCTCCTAATTTTTGAACACAGACTTTTGCGTATGCATTTCATAAAATATGATGAGATACCATTTTACAGTCCATGCATATTCGTTTGTGTTTTAATACAACGTGTGAGTGATTCGCATAAAAATAACGGTACTGAAATATTAATTTGTAATGTCCAGTTTTGTGTTTATTATTTGTGGAGCTCGTGAACGCGTAAGGATGCATGGTAATACTAAATTAATTGTTTAGGTAGAAATAAAAATGCACCATTGAAAAAATAAATAAATGCATCTTGATATGAAGTGACAGTCGTTTTAAAATGAGGACACAGATGAAATATTCAGTGATGCTGGAAGACTGCAGATTTGAGCCCAGAGAAATATGAAGGGTGAAACGTGTATGTTCTCACACACCTGCTGGATTCAGCGTGTCCAGGTCAACTCAGGTGTGCACTGTAAGATGTTTAGCACAGATAAATGCTTCAGAAATTAATATAAGCATATCTATATATTTGCATGCACCCTATAGATATTTTTGCATCTTATTAAAAATAATCAAGCAGAGCAAATTCTGCATGTGTAGTGTTTTATCATTCAGATTCGTCTTCAGTTTTGCATGAGGCTGTGTGTTTGAACGTGCTGTATTTTCTGTGGGAAACTTTCAGTTCAGTCAGATTAATTGCAAACATCTTGCTTCAGCTCTCTTGATGAGCTAAAACCCAAAGCGTAGAGGGAATCTGATGTGTGAAGAGTTTGGCCGCTGGAATCGCAGAAGAGAACGCTGCCGTCCCCAGCTCCTTCTCCTGTGTTAAACTTCAGTCCAGCTGCTCAGTGCAGTCAGTCAGACTGTGTATTTAGTGTACTAAAAATATTTGTAGTGTGTGAGGAGCAGATTTCATGTGAGCAAATCTGATGTCAGAGGTCATGCGGAAAGTCTTTTCTGTTTGTCGTGCATGCATGCTCGGGAAGTCTTTCACAAATTCAGTGCTCTGAAATTACAGGAAGAGCCCACTTCCTCCCAAACAGTTGACGGCAGTGGGGTGTCCTAAGATGCATATTTTCACAGGTTTCCTGCAGCACAAAGACGTGCTCCTCGTGGTGCATTCAGCCAGATTGATTACATCATTTCAGGTTTGGAAAAGCTCCTGCGTGGCGCGAGGAGAAGCCTCTGTGTTTGATTACGGCAGCTGAGCCGTCGTTGCTGAATTCGGTGGGGGCGATTCTTTAGCTCGGGCTCTTTCATCCCCAACAATGGCAGATTCCGCCCCGTCTAAACTGTTTCTGCGCCCCCATTATGCTGCGAGGCTCCCTCGCCGCATGGCCCCTCCTCTGCCTCCTGTGTTTGGGAGGAGCGGGGCCGCTCACAGCTGATTGTCAGCTCTAATACGTGTCATTTACATGTGCGTAAGGTGAACCGTGCGTGAGCGAGCACCTTTGGTTCCCCCGTGCAGAGAGAAACTCCTGAGTCTCTCAGAGTTTAGATTCCACCGCGACGAGCTGAGAGAGAGTTTTAGAGGAAGAGGAGGACGACGGTGCTCTTCATCTCTCGCATTCTCTGGTCTCCTGCTACTTCACACGGCATTTCCGAGCTCGTTTTTGGACTCTCGTGTGTGTGATTTGTACTTGATTATATTATCTATGCTCTTTATATGTTGTGTGAGAGTGACTCTGTGTTGTGGGTCAGTAATTAAAGAGCTGTCAGGGTTAAAACCACCAGTTTTTGCTTTGAATAATTTTTAGTTCTGGTGCATTAGTCTGTCTCTATCATTTCTGGATTTTTTTATTTTTTTTGCAGGATTATTTTAGCTCTGAACTGATCGCGTCGATCCAAACGTCTTCAGTGTGTGGATGCATGGAAGTATCTCTTACTGTACAGATGTTGTTTTTAAAAGAGTTCACAATATTTAACCAATTCAGAATTAACAAACTTTCACATAGAAATAATATCCTTAAATCATTTTAATAAGAAACGTGTACATTTTTTTTTGCCAGTTCGTTTTCTTCCTCTTAAAAATGCATCCCTAAAATGCGCCTGCAGATTTCGGCACAGCTGAAGTGCCTGTCAATCACAAACATACACGTGCTCCGCCCCTTGTGTTTGTTTATTGAATATTTTATCTATTTGATAATGCTGTATTCCACCAATACAATCTCAACGCTCCATCTAACACATTATAAATCCTTTCAACAGAACTCTATTTTTCTACAAGAAAATGTGGAAATTCCATGGATTCTAAATGCACTGGTTTTATTCATGTCAGAGTAATTATTTAATGAGACTACATTACGATATACCTTTGAAAGTCATTTTTAAGGGTCTTTTCAGTTCCTTGAGCTGACAAATTCACGATTTCACTTTGCACTGCTCCCAGTTGTGTTTTATCGTTGTGCTTCTTCTGCGATCTCGTCTCTGAAGATATTTTGGCCTATCGGAGGGAGGGGGAGTCAGACCCAGAGCTCTGTGGAAATGCCTTAGGTGTGACTTCACTTTCACTCACATCACCGCTGACCCGACTGCCTTTCATATCACATCCACCGCGTCTCCACCGGTAAACATCCCCCGAGGGCCGAACAAAGAACACGGCCCTTTCTCCTTAATCACAATAAATGCACTGGTTTTATTCATGTCAGAGTAATTATTTAATGAGACTACATTACGATATACCTTTGAAAGTCATTTTTAAGGGTCTTTTCAGTTCCTTGAGCTGACAAATTCACGATTTCACTTTGCACTGCTCCCAGTTGTGTTTTATCGTTGTGCTTCTTCTGCGATCTCGTCTCTGAAGATATTTTGGCCTATCGGAGGGAGGGGGAGTCAGACCCAGAGCTCTGTGGAAATGCCTTAGGTGTGACTTCACTTTCACTCACATCACCGCTGACCCGACTGCCTTTCATATCACATCCACCGCGTCTCCACCGGTAAACATCCCCCGAGGGCCGAACAAAGAACACGGCCCTTTCTCCTTAATCACAACCCAGCCCTCTCTCTCTCTCTCTCTGCCAACACGCAGCATTTGCATTCAGCTTCAGAAAGGCGCGCATGAAAAGGGGGAAGAGCGACAGAAGAGAAAAAAAGACAGGGAATAAAGGCAGAAGAGGGTGGGTGTCGAGAGCAAAATAACTGAGGTGTTTGTGAATGTTTGTTGGGCCTCCCCTGGTTACGGCCCTTATATAGACCCCCCCCACACACACACACACACACACACACACACACACACCCCCCCACACACACACACACAGATAGTGTTACGCAGCGGCATGTTTGCTCTATTCATGGCTGCACACTTTCACACTTAAGAGAAAATCATCTGTGTGAGGCACGGCTGCTTTAAGACGCAAGTAGTTTGGAACAGGTGTTTAGATAATTTAATGCATTGGTATTTACCTTTTTTTAGATTTGAGGAATATCGTTATTGGCATGATCATTAGCTTAGCGAGACTTCCACTGTAAGTGCATTTGTCAAGGCATTTTTGGTTTGTTTCTACAGCTGGATTTCACGCATGCGGTGCATCGAGCTCAAGTTACTGAGCATGGGACATTTCTTTAATAAAGGACTGATAATAAATAACAAAATATAAAAATAAACACATACAAATGATTATTAATTATAATTAAATTCTATGTTATTGATATATGCAAATTAAATACTAATTATATATGTGACCCTGGACCACAAAACCAGTCATACGGGTACATTTTCTGAAATTGAGAGTTATACATCATATGAAAGATGAATAAATATGCTTTCCATTGATGTGTGGTTTGTTAGGATAGGACAATGTTTGGTCAAGATACAACTATTTGACCATCTGAGGGTGCAAAAAAATCTAAATAATGAGAAAATCATCTTTAAAGTTGTTCAAATTAAGTTCTTAGCAATGCATATTACTAATCAACATTTTTGTTTTGATATATTTACGGTAGGAAATGTACATAATATCTTCATGGAACATGATCTTTACTTAATATCCTAATGATTTTTGGCATAAAATAAAAATGTATAATTGTGACCCATGCAATGTATTGTTGGCTATTGCTACAAATATCCCCCAGCGACTCAACACTGCTTTTGTGCTGCAGGGTCACAAATAATTACATTTAGTTTTAGATCTCAGTATTTATGTTTATATTTTGTTATTTTGTGTTGTTTTATGTGCTATTACAGCTTAAACAG